AGTTCCTAAATCGTGAGCTGCCAATGCTGAGCTCCCGGCCACCATCCACCTCCGCCCTGTTGCTTCGCTCCCACTTATTTTTGAATTTTCTTCCTTCTTTTGAAACAAGCTTTTGTTCCAGTAATCAGTGAGTGCGACAAGTTCACAATTTTTCTCACCATTCCTAGCCAAATTTGCGGATAGTGGTAGTGAAAGTCCCTAGAGTGAGTTCGCAGGTGGCGTGGACTGTACACCAAAATTTTTCTTTTATTCGAACTGAACTTCTTCTGCCAGGGATGTTGCGATGATCCGGTTGAATTCGAACTGATAATTAATGAAGTGATGCGACCTTAATTACCCTGGGCGGCATTCCTTTGATGTAGTGAACAAAGTGCAATGCGGAACCGTTCTTTTTTTTTCTTTTCAGCTCACTTGTGGTGATCAATTTTGCAACTTTGAAGGTTTTTTGACCGCCTCCTTCATCTGCATTTTTGTAATGGCAGATGGGACGTCATTTGATTTCGCACGAAACCTTCGCTTTCCAAAGCTATCACCTTAATAGGCTCCATCTCAAGGTATCCTTCAATCGTAGTGGATAAGTGAAGTGAAGTAATCCCTATTTGAATTTTAAAGCAACAGTCCAGGAACGAATTTGCGGGCCAAAAGCACCTATATGGAAGTTGTAGGTGAAAAGTGGTCGAACGTAAAGAGAAAAAGTGAAGAAAACGCCCAACTGGGGCTTAGACAGGGACATGCCCTGCCGTTTAGGGAGACGTGTGTTGGACGAGTTGTCCGAACCTGCCCGTAGTACATGCGCTTTAATTGCAACTGCTGGCAAATAGCTGCATGCTTGCAAATACATAACTATTTGCCAGCAATCGAAATTGAAGCGCTTCAATTGCGTTCTTATGGAATCGACCTCATACAGCGCGGCGGTCCCGCAACGACCGCTAGTCGAGCAAGCGCTCTGCACAGCGTATGTTGGGCGATCCGCCTCTTTATGGGTGATCCGCCCCCTCCAAGAGGACTTCGACCCCTTCCAGCGCATTTTAGAGGTAGGTTTTGAAATTAAAGACATTTCCTATAAACTTTAGTTGGGCTGGGGCATGTTTTGACCGCCTAATGACCAAGTAGTTGAAACCCTGCCTGGACTGTTGCTTTAAGCTCTCAGCTGTCAGTTTCGGTCAGCCTTGGGGCGTGATTGTATAAATGATTATCGATCGGCTTCTGAAGAGTAGAGAAATTTAATCAACGTCATGTGAGCTTGAAGGCAATGCACCTACATACTTATGGATGTAGGGTGGAGCGGTCTTGATAAATATTACAAGCGTTTGGTGGAAAAGACAAACCTTTCGGCGCGCTAGGGTAAAGAGGGGAGGGGGCATGATTGGAATCATTTATAGCACTCTTCCACAATGACGCTCACTGATATATCAAAATCACATCAGCTCACTATAACTGCGTTACACCTTTGAGAACGTACCCTCCCCTTCAAAAAGCGAGAAAGTGTCGGGTGCAGACCATGCACCACAAGTGACGACGGCCTTCACAAAATGTTAATGTTTTCTGCCAATGAAATGATTAGCCTGTTGCAGTTGTATTCTATCAGTTGTCACTAATTACAACTATCATTTACCAGAAATCAGCTATCACTATGAACAACTTCTAACCAGATTTACTTGGAGGCCGTCGTCAGTTGTGGTGTTTGGTCTGCACCCGACACTTTCTCGCTTTTTGAAGGGGAGGTTAGAAGACCGCTGAATCGTCAAAAGCCTTTCACAGGGGACCGAATTCTTATAAATGCCGAATCGCCGGATCGATATGCATACATTATTTTGAAGGTGAAGTTTACGATAAAAAGCAAGCACATTAAAAATTAAGGTACAGGTGGTCAGTGGTGCAAGGACAGAACCCGAAAAAAAGGACTCCTCTGCTCGTCGATTCCCGCATTGACGACCTCACCGGGGTTGAACTCTTCAAAGCGGGGGGCATATCGTCTGCTGCGAATTGCGTGTCGGTCCACTCCCTTAGTTGGTCCACGTCTTTCCCTTAGTAGGTTTCCTCCTCGTCGATCTCAGGAATCATCGTGAAATACTCCTTCAAGCAGAATCACCGAATAGCTCATGCTGTCTAAAGCTGCATACCGCGTACACGGTCGTAGGATCAATCATCAAATCCCGTTCAGGATCTAAGCACTCCATCCTCTTGGAGAGAGTTGGCATCAGATGAGAATCGAGTTCTTGGGCTTCTGGTGAATGTACCTCTCTTCAAAATATTCTGAGTAGGCCATGAACATGGTGAAAAAAAGCTAAAACTAATAGTTTTCTAACGAGACCTTACTGGACCCTTAAAGTTCATAAAGGATAAAGGATAAAGCATTTGCCGTTGATCAATCCCTTTTTGGGATGCGGCACGCATTCTACTTCCATTTGTACATTCGTAGTGGCGTTTGAATGCGATGTGGCCTATACAATGACTTGCGGGGCCAGCCGATGTACAAGTCAGTGTTTTTATCCTCCCAGACAAGTCTGGTACCAATTAACCGACCCCGGAGGGATGGAAGGCTTGGTTGGCCCGGGCGACTCACGACCCAGGATTTGATCCCCGGACCGCTCGCGTGGTAAGCGTGCCACTTGCCACTACACCACTTCCGCCCTGAAGTTCGTTCTTCCCTTAGGTGCCTTCACAATCAAGCTCTTTTTGAGCGTGCGAGTTTCTCAGCATTCAACCGATCATTAACCTCCTACGCCAGTACGGTCAGCGTAGAGAAGGGAAGTTGTGCGTGGAAATAGAAGCTATTTTCGTTTTCCGTAAGCACAAAAAGAACTTCCCAGAATACTCGCCTGAAAACGGCTCGTTAATGGTTCTTCTCGTTTGAGTTTCGAAAAGCGCATCCTTCCATGTCAGCAAACTTCGCTTTGAATTTGTTCGACACCGTCTGAACATAACCGTCTGCCACAATCTTCCCACTCATGGTAAATCAAATTTGAAGCTTTTAGCACCAGCCCCGCCATGGGCGCACACATAGTCGGTCGTCCGTGTCGCACAGCATTGGATGCGTATCGATCGTCGGACTCGCATGAGTATTCGACGATTAGGTGCAGTTAGACAGTAAGACAGTTGCGATCGCTGCTGTCGTCCAACCGACTTATTTGCGCGCTGCCCTATGGCACGCGCACGCACCGTCCGCCTGTGGCGAAGTTCGCCGAGCAAGCATTCAAAGGACTTCCCTCTCTTGTGGCCAGGGTTTTGTGTTTGAAAGCTAAACGGCCATTCTTGAGTGTGGCCTTCTCGTTGTCTTACGCGAGATAGCCGAAGTGTACGATGGTGCGCCTCAGTCTTTACGCAAACTGATAACCCTGACAGACTCACCTACCCTACACTCCCTTTTTATTGCCTTGCTTTTCCTTAACGAGGCGCTGGCAAGCTATTGGTTTGCTGCTGAGGTTGCCAAATTACAGACGAATCGACTTCTCTTCTTCACTACTTTTTAGTCAAGTGTAGTATCTGGCGGCCCAGTCAATGGCTTTCTCACTCCACTGCCTTAGTACCTCTGAAAGCTAAGACTGTCACTAGCCCACCTCCTACGTCGTTCGAAATCTTCCATTATGTTTCTTCTCTCCGTTGTTCTTTACCTCTAGACTATACCCTTTCTACGGGATTCTCTGCGCTAGAGGGGCTACTGCGTTACAGTAGTCGGCTATTACGCTCTCGTTTTTTTTTCTTCTCTGGACTCTAACCCTGTATATGTCTCGTTTTTTATTCTTTCCTTTTTTTCTGTTCGGAGTTGGTTTGCGGTTCTGGGCGACGGACTGTTAACTTGACTGTTACTGCTTTACCGACGCGCACTCCGAGGAGCATCATTATAATAAATAAATAAAATAAAGTAAATTCTCGGTCAATTCGTCTTACGGCCTCAGCGCCCAAATCTTAGATCTGATTACGTATGCATTGATTTTTAGCCGGCGATACTTTCATCGTTTCAGTGTACACATCGAGGTCAGTAAGCCCCCTTTTGGCCATTGAGCTCCGTGATGTTCAAGTACCTAGTGACTCACGCCAAGACCGCAAGAGGAGGGCGTCCGAGTTCAGCTCCTACGAGAACAGGGTTCAGGCGATTACGTGAACTTCCTAGTTGATCCTGCTAGGCGATGGCGTAGGAGCACATACGATTTAACCCATTGCGGACCGCCGTTATAATTGCATCTCCGTAGGTTTTTGTCATCTCTTTTATCAGTGGCCAATAATCTATCGAAAAATTTAATAAGTATGCAAATAAGTTGATATATCCTGTGTCCGAAAAAGTAACTGTTGATTTTGTAACTTTAGCAAAATGCCTGAAAAAATCGAAGATTACTATCCTTCTCCGCGTGGTGGCGTGCTGCACATGGTGCAGCACGCGGTCCGCAATGGGTTAAAGAACGGCACCTGGCTCGGCTACAAATCAGAAGGAGGAAGGTGAGAGCCGTGAGACTATGCTAGGGAGACAGAGCTCTGGGTAGGGTGAGCCATTTGCAGTGAGGCAAACGTTCGAATGGGTGAGACCCCCATTCCACCCCATGTCCCCCCCTAACTGGACTAGACCCAAACCCAGTTCAAGTAGTTCGTAAACGGAGAGGGAGTCGTAAAAGCTTTTCCAGAGGTAGCGTTAAATGGGAGGCGGCGTACGTAGTTACGGGCAAGACCACATACTTGCCGCTCCTTTCACCGCATGATGAAAAGGAAATGATTCAATAAATAAATTTGCATTTGCTGCACTTCTCTAGTTCCCTTCTCATGTTCCAGTAAAATCTTATCGGTCTTCGAATCCACGAAAAACAGTTTTGATTCAGGATTTCAACATGCCAAAGAAGTTTGCTAACGAGAACCCTAAGGTGTTAGCTGCTCGAGACCGTAAAGCGGCAGCGAAGAAAGAGGAACAAGAGAAGAAGCAAAAGGTGTGCCATACTTCTGAATATTTCGACCTTTGTTGAAGGCTGTATTGCTTTAAGGCTGCCGAAGACGCTTATTGGGCCGACGATGATAAACTGGTGAATAGGAAGCTTCAAAGGAAGGTTGGTTGTTCATCGCGTCTCGTTTTGTACGTTTATTTTAGCGACAAGGGGATTTTGGTGCAATCGCTAGGAAGAGTGACTTTTCCGCCCTTCGCAGCGCGAAACTTTCCCGCTGCGAGGAACCCCAGGTCCACCACTGATCAGAGTGGACCTGAGGTTCCCGCAGCGAAAAAAGTTTCGCGCTGCGAAAAGCGAAAAGTTGCTTTCTGTCCTAGCGAACCACATCCGACCGAGTAAACCATATTTTTAATAGGAAAGGGAGCAACAAAGTAGAAACTTTTTGTGAGGAGGTAACTATTCAAGAATTTTTTCTTCGAGAGTTCAAGAGTGCTAGTTGTTTTGCTGCTCTATGGATGCTTTTTTGCTGTAGGAGGAGGAGGAACGAAAGCGTCTCGAAGCTCTGAAGCGAAAGGAAGAGAACCGTAAACTCGCTGAGGCTGAGATGGCCAGACTTGCCGCATCAAAGTCAACTGTTCAACCTCAGAAAGTTACCAGGTGAATTAAAGCTGCCAGACGAGGGCTTTCCGATGTGTTTTCCTGTTCATACTGCTAACAGCATTGGATTTATTGTGTTTCCTTAGGGCCACTATCGAGGAGCGCAGAGAAGCTGAGCTTCGTTTGCAGAAAGAAGAAGAAATGCGCGCTAAGTTGGCTGCAGAAAAGATTGAGGTTTATTTCTTCTGACTTCTTCTACTGTTTTTCGATCACAGATATAGAGCTTTATGAAACATATATTTAAGGTCGTGGACCACCTAGAGGAAAACTTAAACCAATTGGAGGAAGGAACTGCAACTGCTCGAACGGTTGCGGAGGCTATCCAAGTCCTAGGTGGCGATCGTGAGGAAATCGATAAGCATCCCGAAAAGCGAATGAAAGCAGCATACCTTGTAGGTTTTCGATTTCGATTTTTTTCCCCGGAAATGAATCCGAGAAGTAGGTCCTGACTTGTGAGGCCGTATCCTATCGTTTCCTCAAGCTAGGGGAACAAAGGATTTTTCAACTTTAGTTTCAATGACACAGTTCCCTTACTTTCCGCACCTGCTTGCTTATATATTGTATACTTATATATTATATTGCATACTTATACGTCACAAATATGTACTTTCTTAGAGCGATTTTTGTAGGAAAGGCAAAGAAAAGTTAAAGGGGTTATTTGTTCCTCTAGCCTAGTGGAAGGACAGGATACGGCTTCTGGTTTCTCTAAATCTTGGCGACTTTTTCGTTTTCCACTGTTCAGCGAAATTTTCACTTTTATTGTCATACTCTTTTTTATTTTATCTTAAATGCAAGTGTTCAGGCATTCGAAGAAGCGATGTTGCCACGGCTGAAGCAGGAACATCCAACCTATCGCCTCTCACAACTAAAGCAACTTCTTAAAAAAGAATGGCTGAAATCACCTGAAAACCCGCTCAACGCTAAACTTATGGCTCTTTCTGCTGTATGAAAAGTGGGCTGCGACTGTTTTGTTTTATTTGTACATCAGTGGATGATATGATTGGAAACTCGTGCTTTCTTACTATTATATTTCGCCCGTAAGTCGTAGTCGTTCTATCCGGTATTTTGAAATGTAAAGTGTGCAGAAATGCCTCACAGGCAAGCAGTTTTCACCGTTCTCATATATTTAGGTGAGAAGTGCGCAATTAATCGTTGCTCGGGGTTCAGGCATATACAGCGCGAGTTGATTTGATATTGAATAAATGTTCAGTGGATAATCTTCATGATTTCTTTCGATGGGCATGAGGTTTCAACACCTTGATTTTTTGAAGTATGTAAATTTCTATATAATCAAACGTTTAAGATCATTCTTGCCAGATGGTAAAGGTTTATCACGGTCGAGAGTGCACCACTTACTCATTAGATAAGCTGAATTCGCTTACTGCTAGAGATGTGATTAAGGAGGTCGCTAAGAATGAAGCAGATCGTTCAGGTACTATTTGCTATTCGTTCTCTTCGTTGAATTCCGTAGTAGTTGTTGCTTTGCAGTTTTGAGTCACACTGGCCGCTTCCTCCCATTAGATACACAGATGAGTTCGCACAACCTTCGTGAAACCGACATACTCCGCGTTCTTCAGGGTAGTGCCGCTCCGAAGCTGAAGCAGGTAGGAGGATTTTTTTGTAAGTGCTCGTTCATTACAGTATATTTCGTTTCTATGGACAGCCTTGTGACGACTCGCTTTTACGTGAATGTGATCGTCTGTTCGATTACCTGCAGAAAGAGGAATCTGGATATGTGAGTTTTCAAATAGAACTTTTTGAGTGTTTTTAACACATTTTGACAATTGCTTATGTCACGTAACAACATGAACCAGGAAAAACATCTGAATTCAAGAAAACGGGTTTATCCTAGAATTTGTTCTGGCAGCCGCAAAATACAAAAGTGATAGGTGAGACTGAAGAAGTACCGTTATAAATTGAAAAGATAGGGCGCATTATAGTCGATCGTCCGATCGTAACGATCCCACAGCATTGGGTACGTATCAATCATTCAATCCTCGAACATGTCTGGCGATCGATACTCATACAATGCTGTGCGATCATTGCGATCGCTACGGTCTTATCGACCGATTATGGATGCTCTCATATCCCATATTGAAATTCCTGTAAAATGGTACTGCGTGGTGCTACATAAACCTTTCGTTTTCATATGGTGGTACAACTGCCGTATAGTTTAGGCTTGTACTTCTTGATTACTTCTCGCTATTATAGATTTCGTTCACCGGATTTATATTTTCTTTTTTTTTCATATGCAAGCTTAAAGCTTCTCGCAGGAATGATTGTTGCACTTTCGTGCTTACTATGACAGCATTTCCATTCATTGTGATTTACAAGTAGCTTCAATACTGTCTTCAGATGCATATGCGTCTAATGGCTGAGGTTGTTGAACCGGAATTTCTTTCGAAAATAATGAAGCAGTTCCCGGACCTTCGCAATGACCCGCTTGCATGTCACATTCTGCACGACTACTACATCTTCAAAGGCATGGTGACGCTTCCTACTGATGAAGAAGGTCTCGCAAAGGTAAAGAGGTTTATTTAGAACGAATTTCATTTGCTTCCTTGAGTGAATAATGAAAATCTGTCTTATTCTTCAGTTGCGCAAATTTCATTCTCAACATCCAGCTCTTCTACCCGCAATCAATTGGCTGTTGAAAAAACACGCTCAGAGGGGAAGAGGATCATCACAGGTATGCACAGTTAGCCTCTATGCGAAGGCATATATTCTTAAAACTTATTGATTCCTGCTCGCGTTCATTCTAAAATACGAGGTGATTCGATGCGCATTTAAATATTTTCTCTTTAAGCGTACGCCGCGTGTTCAAGCAGACGAGTCTCCGTCTCCAGCAGAGCCTCCTCAAATTACTCAAGAAATGTTACGGCAGGTCAGTGTTGATTGTGTACATAGACTGAGCCTAACCGGTGGTAGGTTTGCCGGTCATTAAGCAATAGCTTGTGGTTGTTCATGAATAGTTGGATTTCATGGGCTACTTACGACTAGCCGTCCTAGACACGTGAATCTTGTCTAGATTATCATCACATTTTATGGTTTTTCACCTATGTTTCTTCAAGGTCTTTATGGTTTATTTTATTTGTGTTTTTGTTATACACTGATGATAACATACACATTCCAAAAACCTGCACATAACCCGATTCTGTTCTACACAAGTCTCTAGACATTGTAGGCGATGTTCACAGTATGTATCGTAATCGCTAATGTGAAAATGACACGGAACGCGATTAGTTTCTTTTCTTTTTATAATACATTATCATACATATTTAGGCGATGGCGATAGCTTTTGGAGGGGCGATGCCCAGTGGATCAGGACGTAGCGGCACAAGCACTACATCTCGTCCTGCATCTCTTGTTCCTACCCCACCATCTGCAGCAGCGGCTCCAGAGCCCAATGCTGATCACATTTTGCAATTGCGGTCAGTGTTTTACACAGTGTTACTTGTTTTATCTTTCATCCCAAGTATAACCTTGACCCTCGTGCTCTCTTTCGATAGTATTTATGTAGTTTCAATTTAGCTCCCGATTCGCATCTCAGCTTGTCCAGCTGAATGAATTCGGGTTTACCGACGAAGCTGCAAATCTGACCGTGTTGGAATCCTTGTGATGGAAACGTTGAAGTTGCACTTGACTTGTTAATTGCGATGAGGGAAGGAATTTGATCAATTTACATTTGAGGTATCAGTTGTCGTTTAACAGCAAACTGGTCTTTCTCGATTATGGATTAGTATCCGTGTAAAAGATTTTTGTGATAAAACTGCTTTAGATGTCATTAATTATTAGCGCTCAATGCATACTGTATTGTAGAAGGGACAACAGAAGGAGTGGTTCGAAAGAGAGCGTCATTTCTTTTTTGTGTAGAGGGAAGCGGTTGTGTAGCAACACAAACGTCAATGACGCCGTATTTCGTTTTTGTTCCTTTTTGTAGCAGTTATATTCTCAATCTAATTTAACCGTAGATTTCGATCGACTGGTTTTATTATTCAAGATGGGTCACGGTCTGAAAAGTAGGAAGCATTAACATGTTATTTCCTATTTCTTGTTTTCTTCTAACCAGTGGGAGATCTTAAGCGGCTGTATATTGCATTCTTTTCTTTGTATCCAATGTACAAATGCGCTGATAAATAATATTTTTGTTCGCTTGCTTACAAGCTCCTTTAGTTTTTCTTTTCATCGTGAAAGTATCCAAGCTATTACGATGACAACTTCTTTAGCGACAAAACTCACTATGCTGATCCCTTCAAAATGCAATAAGGCGCCTCTAGAATGAAAATCGAGGTGCCGTGCCGCCACGTGAAGGAAATGGTGAGAAACCCGAAAACGGCATTTTTTTCAATCCGTTGATTTCATATTTGGGCGAGTTAACTGCGGCTGCTGGCTGTAATAACTTGTCTTTTGTCAACTATTTCAGTTATCTCGTATGTTGTATTTATATTAGGTCGGTCAAAAGTATCCGCCGTTTTGACCCCCTAATTTTGAAGCACCACAACTTTGCTGAAACACAATCTTTTTGTTCGAAATAAAAACTGCTATGTCCAGCAGATTGTTCTCAATCAGATCCATGCTAAGAACTTTCCTTCCTATAGATCTTTAATTTATTATAGGCTAAAAGCTGTAGGAAGGCGCATTTGACATGCCTCAGTTCTCAACGCGATTTCTCCTCCAAGAACTATGTTGAAAAGCGGGGAATTGGTGGTTCGTGAAAGATGTACCTGGCTATATAAAGGATAGCAAAAGAACTTCTGAGCCATTTCTGAATGGATTCTACAGAGCGTATTTTGCGGTGGGCGATTTAGCGCTATCGTGGTGAAGGACTGGACCTCATTTTTTCCTTGAAGCAGACTATCATCCCCGTAGTTTCTTATGTTTTATGTTCTACTCTTTACGACAGGACTCGGCCGTCGTCGAATGAGTCAATTCTCGGACTTTGAAATGAGCTAGGCCATCGAAAATTGAGGAAAATCCTTATTGGAGGCGCTCCAGGTTTTGCAGCGTTCCAAGGCAGCTTGGTTTCGTCCACATATTTGGTAACCCTTCACTGTTAGCGTGCAGAAGCATAGTCTTACCCCACACTATTACCCATCTTGAAAACTGTTCCTTACTGTTGCAAGGAAGAGTCCAAGCACACACCTCCACGCGCGTCGCAACTGCTAAAGCTGCCAGCACGGGTTACTCCGGTGAATAGATTGACGACATTTTTCCTGCTTTCTCACAGCGTCCACCAGGCTGAGTTCGGTGCCTTTAGAGACCCAACCTCTAATACCACACCTGTAGTTGGGTATCAGTGATAAGCTTCTTTCATTTCTTTTTTACAATCCCGTACATTGAGGGCACTCCTTATACTACGCGCATCACTTTCGAGCTTTATTTCTCCAGGCCCAAGCCTGCCGAGCTAATCTTGCGCTATGCGTTTCCTAGCAGCACTCCTTCTCAATGCAGTCGCCATATTACGAGCTGGCCCTGGCGTGTCTATTCCAAGTTTGAAGACATGAAGTGGCAACAATCGAAAATCACGATTTTGCTTATCCTAAAAAGGAGGGTAAAACGACAAATGTTCTCGGAATCACCTCAAACCTTCGTATGAATATGAAAGGGCTGATCTTCCTCTATAAGATGACACCCAAGTTGTTTGAATAGTTGCGAAAGAAACTATCAAAAAATGCAGGGGACTAATCGAGGTGCAAAACGGCGGATACTTTTTGACCGACCTAATACTGCTACGTGCACTATGCACGCGAAAGAAACATCTATACGCGAAATCGAGAGAAGAGATTAGTGATGTTTCAAGACGAGGCGGCTTGAAATGAAAGACGTGCGCCCTCTGGCTTGGCTCCATGGAAAAGCTCGCCGTCAACTTAACCCATTCGCGACCGCGCAGGATTGCGCAATAGCAGGAGAGTCAGGAGATTTTTCTTCAATAAAATTTGAGTGGATGGAGATTTCCCCTGCCCAGGGCTGGCGTAGATGAATGAGGGTATGAAGATTCTTTTCAGGAAAGAAAACTTTCCAAATTCCATTTGAAACACGGCAGCCACCGGTGGATGCCATTGTCCCGAGTGAGATCTTTGGCAGCCACCGGTGGCTGCCATTGTCACGAATGGGTTAAACGAGATCGCGTTGTCGCGCGGCGGCGTGGCGCCAGCTCTGCCTCCAATACTTTTGTACATAAAGTAGTGCGAGTATCTATCGTGCTCTCACTTTACTGTGTGGCAAGTTGAAAGTGAGAAGAATTGAACTCGAAGAACGGACTCGGTTTAACACCTTGACGAGTGCGCGACAATTGTGTATGCCGCCATCTTCGCACCACATCGGACATTGTGGCAACTATGTATGCCACACCATTACATTTATTTTTTCGCACATGCCGATTTCTTCCCAAGTTTTTTGTGTTCATTTTATAGGCCATACATCAACATAACCAAGAACCACGTGGCTTACAGAATGGCCAAATATTCTTAGTTTGGCAGAGGTTTTCCGGACCTCACGAAAATATCTGTTCAGTTCATTCCTCGTTCTTTTTCCACAAAGTACACTTTTTGTCTACGTATACACTTTAGCGTGTACACGTAGATGAAAAAGAGTAACAGAAGTGATTCGCATGGCAAGATACATGTCTTTACTGAATCAACTACCTTCAGAATAATATAGGGACAACTTAAGCGAAAATAATTGAAACTTGACTTGTTAGCTACAAGGCGTCATTTTGGCCAAACTTCCATTACTGTAGCTCCCGATAAGTTGAATGCATTGAACACTAATGGAAACATTCTGTCGCATACAAGTTTTGCGTATCAGCTCAAAATCCACGGTTATGAGGTGATGCGAAGGCGCCTGCAGAAATCGCGCCGGTCCCACGCGGCCAAAAAAGCCAAAACGCGCGATGTCGTCAAGGTGTTGACCAACTTTCAATCTGACGGTATTCTCCTAAGGGCGTGAGCATGAAAGCCTTGAGTTTCTCTACATTTTCAAAAATCCCAATTCTTAGTGCCATAGTGGTACCGAATATAACGTAAGCATTCCGCTCGCGGCAGGACTGATTGAACAAGGTGGTATATTGCCGAAAAGCCAGCACTATGGCCGATGTCAGACTTTGCGAATCGCGCGATTCGC